TTCCAGGAGTGAGGCAGCACCAGAAGCGGGGATCATTTTCACGATCAACGCGCAACCCAGATTTTGCTGATGCCAGCGAGCGAGCCATACGAGGACGCTCACCAGCAGCAGAAGAAAGGCCGGACGACCGGGACAAGAATGAGCAACTAGGGACTCGCTGGTCCTAGACATCGGGGAGCTGTCCGGCCCTCCGGCTCGTAAATGATCTAGATCTACCGCAGATGACTCGGTCGACTGTCGGTGGAATTCGATCCTGGTCATCCGGTGCCATCTCACAGGGCTGAAAGTCCCCTTGGTCTACATGTGCATGCGAAGAGTATATATCCTAGGCATGTTGTTCATTAACTATCCGTCTCCTAAAGGCCCCGCGCGTGACGACCACCCACTCCTTCTCATGAATGGATGTTAAGGCTGCTTCCACCGGCCATCGTCGAACGTCGGAGACAGCTGTGAGAGATTGAGCGGTGCTGTCAGTGGGTAGTGGGGCAGAGACACCCTGAATGGAGGGAGGAACAAGTGTGCCCCGTGCTGGTCGGTTCTGACTGGGATGTCCTGTAGCGCCCCCCCCCCCCGCTGCGGCTGCAACGTTCAAAACATGGGGCCTGCCAGCTGCCCTGGAAGGGCTTCTCCTGCCTGTTCACCACCAACAGCACCCAACAGGGTTGGGGCGAAACATCTCTATACTGCTTCATCGACTTCCTCATGATTGGTATTCTCTTGACCACAGTATCTGACCAAGAGATATGCACCAGAACCGAGAAAAGAAGTCATCCTTCATTCTCACCAATCCTGTCTGAACAGAAAACGTCAACCCCCTCCTACGGTATGTGAGAACGTACAACGATGGTTGGGCAACCACCAACTACCCGCCTGAACCTGACCAAAGACCGCCTGTCAGTCCCTTGGGAGCACATGGGCCGCCTTCACCCCCGAACGATGATCAGTCCAGCTTTTTCCGGACCGTACGCCGGGCTGGCTTGGGCCACATCATGGTCCGCCGCAGCGTGCCCGGGTCCATGCCTCGTGTCCAGGGGTCAATCTCCGGGGACTTCAATGCCATCATCGCACATTTTGCCCCTCGGCACTTTCGTGGATCAATGGGTCCTGGCCAGACACCCATCGAACGAACCCACACTCACTGCTCGCTTGTCCCAGCAGCCTCGGCTCAAGACGACCGGGCTGCCCAAGCGCCCCCAGGTTGGGACTCGCGCCGGACCTCTTGCCCTGTCAGGCCAGCAAACCCACGCCGGCCTCGTCGTCAAACGCCCGGGGCTGGTGCCTGACCTGGGCGGCACTGGGCAGAGGCCATTCGGTTGCCTTGCCTCGCCCTCGACTGCTCCGTTCCGTTCCCCATGTCGCCAGTGCGGACCTGTCCTTCCCAGACACAGGAAGCCTCAGACGAGGGTCATTGATGCTTGGCGTCCCATCTTCGTCGTGATGAGAATAGACACAGAAGCGCCGTCACGGTTCCTCGGTTCTTGCTTAGGTTTGTTCATGGCGCTGACCTACGGGCTACGCAGGGCCACATGCCGGTCTGTTTTGTCTGATGTTGCTGAGCAGGTAGCGTTATGACGACAGTGCATGCAGACGTTACCTGGGTGGGTGGAAGAAGATTGGTGTGACACTGGATGTATCGCTGGCGCTATCGACAGCCACAACCCAAGTCGGGAATTCGCCGTCACGGAGGCTATTCCGTGGTGTAGGGCTGATGCCGTATCCAGCGCAGAGGACATGATGCAGTTCCAGCATGAGAGCAGCGGCCTCTGTCACTCGCATGGCCTCTAAGCTGCTTGTTTGTCACGTCCACAGCTCAAGCAATTCGAAATTACGGGAACCTCCCGACTCGGACAACCCTTTTCCAATTCTGCTCCATTCGTGGAAATCAGCCAGCCAGGCTGTGCGCTGCCACATCCAGTCGGTTTCCCCCATCTGACTGGCTTCAACTGGGTCCCCCCGAAATTTCTCGGCTTCTTGGCAACAGCGCTGCCTCAACTCCTCCACGGGACGGACGAGGGCTCACTTCAAGAAGCCGCTGACCACCCTTGCTGATGCTAAGGGAGGGTTCGCGATGAGCCATTGCCTATTCACCTCGAAAAGCATCAAACATCAACCAACCGCCAGACTCTGAGGGCTCCGCCAACAATTTGAATGCGAACTCAAAAAGGTGGCGCGAATTCAGGTACAACAGCTTATGTTCACTGATGGCGAAAGTCACATCAGCTCAGCATGACCAATGTTGAGCTGCGAATCACATCGTGGAATGACAGACGCAGGTGCGCCACTTTTGTTGTTCGTTGTGCAGCCCCCCGTGTCATTCGGCTCCGACCGTGACACCACTCACTGGCACTGGAAAGACCGAGTCAGGCCGTGGCTCAAGGCTGAGACGACTGACAGCGTGCTTGCTGACTACTCCCTACCACCACAAGCTCCAAGAACTGAGATTTCACCACAACCTAACCGCTCCCTCTGGACATTGGAGAAGCTCGCGTCATGATTCTTACCTTTAGAGTGAGTTTACAGGCAATAGGTGACGAAAGGGAGGGTTGGGAACGAAAGAAAGGCAGGCATCTCTCTGACAACCCTTTGAACCCTCAGGCAGCCTGAACTTTCAGCCCTACGCCCCCAGGTCCTCGCTGCACCCACACCCCTCGGAGAGGGACCCACGTCGCCGCCTAGAAGGCCCGGTCCAACAGGGTTGATCCCACATACTTTGCCCTAGACAAGGCTTGAAGCCTCGTGTGAGGGTGCGTTGGTCGCGTTTTCAATGCTGGGGCGGGAGACGACTTGCATACAAGAAACGCATGTTGGTCTACACGGCCCGATGATGACACTGCTCGAGCACCCCTTTCATGTACACTGATTCCGCAGTTAGATCTTTCGAAACGCCTTGACAGCCCAAGAATAGAGCAGAGGACGGACTCACAGACAATGGTTTGTGTCGAAGCGTCTCAAACAAAAAGGACCGTTCAATCGTCAACCACAAGACACACATAGTCAACACCGATCTGCTGCAATGCGTGCTTCAAAGCGGATCGCCGGGAACCCCGCGTCTGATTCAGCATCTGAATCAGCAAGCTCTCACCTACCGTGGGAAATGACTGGTGAGGGCTCAAACCTTAGGGCGACAAGGCGCTTCCACCGTCGCGCATAGGGTGTGCTGCGCCACGCTCGGTTGATGATCTGGATACCCTGCCAAGGGACTTGGGGGGTTTCTATCCGCCAGCCTTCTCGGACGAGCCAAAGAGCCCGACAGCCGCTGAGCCATTCGTCATGATCAACTGCTCTCGCAATGCACTGTTCGCCGAACCGAGGGAGCAACACATTTGCGTACGTCTTTAGAATCGAAACATGCCGATGCCGACGCTCGACCAGTGGCTGAACGACGAAAGCAATCCATGTGAACACAGCATGGAAACATGATTGTGCTCCAAGTCTAGCGACGTATTGGCAGCTGTGGTATTCTCCTTAAGCCATGGCGACCCAGGCAGTGCCTCATGCTTAGGTCTCTGAGTTCTTCCTGACCACCTCCTTCAACGAGTAGGAGGTACCATTATTCAATGAGGCGGCCACATTCCCATCGCCCCGAAAAAGGAACGAGGACCGAAATGTTTACCAGGGTGGATTGCCTTCCGAATTCGATTACACTCCGAGAGTCCTGTCCAATGAGACATCGGGCCACGACCTGAAACCTGAGATCGACTCTCGCCCGAGCTTTGATGCCTACTGATGACCTGGAAACGTAGTGGGGGTTGGGTCCTGAGTGAACTGCACTGCCAGGCGGCGATCGTGTCAACTGGCTGACTGCCCGCCAACTTTCTCGAGCATCATGCAAGTGCCTTTCAATGCGTTGTAGCATTTCCTTGGCGCAACACAAATAGAATGCTGCGCTTGCCACGCTCAACAGGCAAGCCCGCCGGGCCAACTCCTCTAGGCACCACTTGAAATCGACGGATCAAAACAGCACCGTCACACAGTTTAGTCGCCTTGCAGTGCAGGAGGTTACATGAGCAGAATATTACTATTCAGGCTGAATCGGAGCACATTGTCGATCTCGCAGCAGATCACAGTGGGTAGCGGGCGGTTCGGTTTCCGCCCCGTCGCTCAGGACTTGTGAAGCAGTTCGTCGTCAGATCTTGGACAGGCACACAACAGGCGGAATCGGCCTCTTTCATTGAACAGAGCCAAGGGAGAATTGATCGACCTTCGGCACGAGCGGTCCTGCACAACCCGAAATTCCGCCATCATCTGCCGTCTCCGGCTTCCGGCTTCCGTTGTGGGCCGTCTCATTCACATTCGGCCAGTCAGTCGCCTTCTTTCCCACAAAGCGAGGCGCAGCTCCCATGATGCTTGTTGGAAGCCCCCTGCATCAAGAACTGTCAAGTTTTCTGGATGGGGTGGTCTGTTGACGTACGTACAAGTACGTAGGACAATCTGAGCCATCAGTCAGCAACGCTTCCAGAACCGCGAGTCATTCAGGTGCCAAGACATGCCGCCTTGGTTGGGTTCAACCCCGGTTTCCATACAACAAGGCGACAGTCGCCGTGGCATTCGTCAACTGCCGGACAACGAACTGCTTGTTAGGCACCTCTCTGAACGAGACGGCGCAAGGTACCTTCAGCCCCCGCTTGTACGGGGGCCAAGCCGACAGTACCATTCATTTCCTCTTTCAAGATCAATTTGCATGAGCTAGTAGGTCAGGATGTACGCCGCAGGTGAATGAACAAGATTTTCAGGGTCTCGCATTCTTGTGACAAGGGAGGTATCGAATGCCGTCGGACCCTCCCCAGGCTTCATTCAGGGATCGAACAGTCGACACTGCTCACACACGGACTCATGAAGATCAATTTGCAACTATCGGAAGAGGATCATGCTGCATGCGACATTCGTGTCCGTTGCCGAATTATATGTAGGCGAAGACTCAGGCTCTTGAATTGCAAGCCATTTTGATACGATTTTATCGCCCACTGATCGTGACTTACATGGTACGAGGACAGCGCTTGACAAGACCAATAACCTGTTGAACAGGGCCTAAGATATCAATATCGCCACACGACGGAGTCATTGGTGCTTCCGCCCCTGAAGAACCTGACAGACACGAGCGCCAAGCCTTTAGTGATTTTCCAAGGCATGGCTGTTTAAAAACAGGAAAGGGCAATGCTGCCAGGCACCACGACTTGCCTGAGTGGTGTTGCATTGCATGATCTTACAATAGACGGCACATGCAGGTGGCTCCTGGATGTGCTAAGAAAGGGGGAAAGGGACACGAAAATCTAGATGAGGCAGCCGCAAAAAAAGAGCAGCCAGGCACGCCGCAGGGGCGAAGCGGCCGATTGCTTGTCCAATTATGGGTTGCTGCATCATGGTTTTTTTTTGGTTTTTTTATTTTTTGCATCTGGTGGTGCGGGGGGAACCCGAGGACTGGTTGGCGGCGTATCTAGCAGTCCATGTCCTCCTTATTTGGTCACGCACTCAGCTGGGTCGATTCAGACACCTTGGCTGCTGATGATTACCCGGGTTGACTGGCCCAATGACACCAGGCTCGGCATCTTGATGCAAGCCATCCAGGCTATCATATCAAGGTAGTTGCACTGCAGATCTTATTAACTGGATCTATCTGATTTCAATGGCTTTTCGGAGAACGCGACACATGCCAGGCATGCCCAGTTGGGGTTACACTGCGCATGGCTTTTGACGAGCGTCACTCAACCATCCACTAGCATTGCTTTACAAATGTCTCGGACGAAGGCGCTTGACTGTGGTGCGCTCATATTGGCCACCAAGGAAGCCACGGGCCGCACACACTGGCCTCCGGTTGTTGGCTCGAAGGCCGATGTCGTTGAACAGCCGTGTTGCGAAAGCGAATACGCCAAGGTCGAAACAACCCTACAGGGCTGAGAGCCAACCAAGTCTGTGGATCGCCCTCAACGCAAGCCTCTTTCGAGCCTTCGGCAGGCTTGGTGCAGAGGCTTGATCTCCACGACTGTTGCTCTAGGGTATCGGAGCATGAATCGAGACAACCTTTTACGTCGGGCACAGAGCACATGGCCTTGTCGGCGCCAGCTGGATCGCCACACTGAAGTCTCGACTGCCTTGAGTCGGGAGCGCGACAGTCTTTCATGGCACATGTTTTATTCGACTGCACCGACGAATCTGGCTTGCCACCATCCACCCACAACTGCCCACTATTCAGTCCCCACGCGAGCCTGTTTCTTGAGCTGAGCTTTCAAGCCAACATGGACATGTCCTTCCGCCCAGGGTGGTCGTAAACTGCCCAATAGTATATGCCCTACGCATTTTCATGCGGGTGCTGCAATGCGACACATTGACGAGGGACACAAGATTGGGTGCCCGACATCACGATCCTTCTGGCTACCTTGCGAGGGCTAGGGGAAGCCAGTGCTCGTGGTACGCCATAATCATCTTTCCTCCGTCAGTCATGCCAGATTCCATCGCTTCGACAGGCAGACAGGCAATATCGGTTGCACAAGTCCTTTTCACCTCGTTATGCGCCAATATGTGATGATCCGCGGACGTGGGTAACGCTCAACAGAGCAGGAGCAAGTCTTTCACACAACCTGTGCACGTCTTCAGCATGATGCACGTTAAACCACACAAATGGGCGGAATCCCGGATGAAGACTCAGGGCCGTGATAGGCTCTGGCACGATGTATGTGATTCTACTGATGCTGTTCCGATAACGCTCACAAACACAGTGAAGCAGTCCGCCGATACTGTTTCATCATTGTCAACCCACAAAGCAGCTCACCAAGACCAACGCGACGGCT